GGGGGGGGGAATGGGGGGAGACAAGGGCAAGAAAAATGCTGCCAAACTGCTACCACTTTGGCAAGGGCTCCGGCGCAGGGCCCAGATCTGCCTGAGCTTGTCCCGCTCCAAGGCCTCCCGCATCTACAATTAAGGTGCCCCACCTCTGCTGCCGGGCACTCCTCCCCCTGCCCTGGTGAAGGAATAGGGTCGCCAGCCCGGCTCCCCAGAACTTGCCTGGGGCACCCCGGCCCCCTGCTGCCTCCTGCTGCCTGGGAGCCCCCAGCCAGGCTCAGCAGTACCTCAGCATCCCTCCCACATGCGGCTGGTGCCCTTTGCTGGCTGCTAGAACTGCTGCTGGAGGGCTCTGTCTTGACCCAAAAGCCAATGGGTTGGTGAGCCTCACTTTCCAACCTCCCAGCACTCCTGTGTAAGGGGGGCAACCCCATTGCTGAAAGGGGAGACTGAGGCACAGAAAAGGGACTGCAAACCACTGCCCACCTGCTCCTGTCACCCCTTGGGCAGCCTGAGCCCTGTCCCAGTGATGCACTCAAAACAGGAGTCACTGGGCTTCTGATGCAACCCTGTGCTCTGGATGCTGTGCCTGCTGCGACAGAGCCAGGGGTTCCTAAGAGACATAATCACCATTTTTTTTCCCAGCTCAGCTCATGGTCATGGAACTTCCAGTATGTCCCAGTCTCATTCCCAGCCAAAATCATGGACCAAGGAGCCTGGGTCAAGTCACCATCTTCTCCTTGGGCATGGGGATGATGTGGAGCAGAACCTCTGGCCCCTGCCAGCAGACCATTATGGAGGGGAGCCAATGGGGTCCTGGTTTGCAGAAGCCCAAGGGAGTGAGGTTGGTAGAACTATGTAGTGAGAAAGATGATAGTCAGCTTTCAAAAGTCACACTTGCAGAAGAGCACTGGTCATGCCACTCCTTGTGGGATCTGGCAGGCCTGCACCCATTGAGTGCTGCTGCCTGGACACTCCTGCATGGCAAGGGGACTCTGCTCTAGGGTAGTAAGGCTGCGCCTCGCCTCGCACAAAGGTCTCTATCCCAGCCTCTGGAGCCTTCAGCTGGGCAGTGCACGTACTAGGGTACCCAGGTCATCACTCTGAGCCCACAGGTAATTCTGCACCCACCTGGAGAAGTAAGAACTGCAGGATGAGAACCCTGGAGAACTGACCTCCATCCCTGGGGACATAGGTCACCTCACACACCACACAGTGATGTCACACTGAGTGACAGCCTACAAGCCAGACCCAAAGGGAGCCCATCTCTTTCCAAGCTGTGCAAACAGGGCAAGGTGGACACGCAGATGAATATTCACCTATCCAGCTTTCCTACAGCCCATGCAGGCGTGTGGCGGGCACTTGGCCCCTCACCCGGGGCGATGCGTGGGTGCTGCCACTAACCGGGGCAGCTGGGTGTGGAAACGGAGCAGGAGGCCCATGAGGGTGTGGTGAGTAAGCAGCAAGTCACTGCCCTGGGGGGCACAGCCAGGGTTTGGCTGCCGAGCAGCACCCGGGGCACTGAGGGAGCAGGAAATGCCATGTGTTGGGAATTGAAGGGGGACCCCACTCCCTGCCCTCCTCCTTATACCTCCTTGGCAAGGATGGCATGCAAACAGCTGGGAAGGTGCCTAAAGGAAAGAGGCTTTGGCATGGCACTGCATCAACCCATGGACCTGCTAGCTGCAGGGTCATGCTGAGGCCAGGCTGTCATGAGCAGCAGCTGCCCAAACTCGTGCTGCAGGTACTGGGGGGGATGGAGGGAGCATGCACCTGCAGAGGTGGTGGTCCTAAAGCCATGTCCAAACCCTGGGAGGGCTGGGATAAGAAGTCCACCCACTCGTGGTCACTGTGTCCTTCTTCTGAGTCCTGACAGAGGCTGGAGCTGGGGTAGCATGATGGCTTGGCTAGTTCATGCCCAAAAGCGGGTGCCACATGTTGTGGGAGGACGCTGCAAAGCTTGTGCAGATGTCAGGGTGTGCCCCTCCTGCATGGGGGCTGCTTGAAGCAGTCAAGGTTCTGATGCAAAGCCCAGACAATCCCTCCAATTAGGGGCATGTGTAGGGCATGGCTGGCGAGGCTGGGTGTCACCATGGGAGAGTGGATGTGACCAAGAGCAAGGACAAGGGATGGCACTGCGGAAAGTTCACCTGCCTTTGTGGGAGAAAACAAGTAGCCCAATGCTGGAGCCAGTAGTCATCTCAAAGAGTGCAGGAGAAACAGTGTTCCTTTGAGAAACCCAGCAAGTCAGCAGCTGCCCCAGCAAGGGCACAGGGAGATGGCACCAGGCAGGGCCTTTTCCACTGGGACATTCATTGCTGCCCATATGGTGCTGCTCCAGGGGAAAAGGCATGCAGGGGAAGGCTGGGCAGCCCAGTCTGTCGGGCGCCATGGGGTAGCAACTGTGGGTCAGCAAGCCCAGGGGGTGACTCACAAGGCTCACCCCAAGGCACACAGGCAGGGCCCTCCAGCCCAGCAGCCTGCCCTTACAGGCTCTAGCCTTGCAGTGTGGGTGCTGGCCAGGGCTCTGACAGGAGGAGACCACTGTTGCATGAAACCACCCAGGGTGTGTGGCTTGAGGGACATGGGACTGGGACCCCCTCAAGCAAGGGTGCAGCCACAGGGGCTGATGGGAGGGGTCCTCCCTGAGCACCTCTGGAGAAATCCCATGAAAATCTGGAGGTGCACTGCCCTTGTGCATGGATGGGAAGGGGATGGAGGGCAGGTGTCCATCCCTCTGAGACCCCTCAGACCCACAGCTGGAGCAGAGCACATTTCAGTTGGGATGATTTTTCTCCCTTGCTTTCTCTTTCATCTCCCAGCTGCTCTCAGCCATGCCCATGGAGAGCCAACAGGCACCAGGGAAGGTGGCTTTGCTTGCCCTCATCCTCAGAGAGCCTCTGTTTCTGCCAGCACAGCCCAACTGCAAACTGGCTTGGCTGAAATCCTGCCCTCAACTGCCTGGGGCTCCTCAGTCTGCCTGCTCTGTGTCTCTGCAGCCTCTGGGCCAGCCCAGGAGCCCCAGGCAGTCCCTACCTGTCCTGCTCAGGGAGAAATCACTGTTGCACAAGGAGCTGAGTGAGAAATGAGTAAATAGGGGAAGAGGAAGAAAGAGAATTTACAGAGCCGGCGGGAGCAAGGAGAGCCTACTACCTGCAGCTTGGCACTAATCAAGGTGCCAGCAGCACATGAGTGACATATCTTCCATTGGCACTGAGCACAGCCTGCTCCCTCTCACCATGGAAAGGTCTGTGTCTTCAGTGAGCTCTCTGAGGACATCCTTACACAATGAGGATGCTCTTTCTCAGGCTGCGATGTCACTAGCAGGATGTCAGTGCTTGTACGTCACACCTGAATCTTTTCCCATAGATGCAACCGTCTGCCAGGATCCCAATGGGCACAGCTACCACCCGTGAGTGGCCAGGCCTGCCTGCTTGTCTGGGGAGAGCAAGAGACTTTCTTGGTCCTGAGACCTGGCCCAGCTACAGCCCACTGCATCCCTCTCATAAATTAGGTTGTCAGTGGGGGGAAAAGCTGGATTAAACAGGCAACCCCTGTATCCCCCCCACCTCATAGATAATGTACTCAGGGATGGGATGGGGAAGTTATAAAGACATTTCTTCCTTGGCCAGGGGAAAATGCCCCCTTGGCTAAGCACCCACAAGTGCCCAGTGATGCACACACAAAGTTGTGCCACCTAAGTGCCTATGCATCAGTGACAGTAAAGAACAGCTCTATCAATGCCATGAGCCCTGGGGCTTCCAGGAACTCTGGCACAAAACACAGCTGCTCCCCTGAGCCCATCCCCAAACAGCAAAAGCCACAGACACCAGTGCTACCCAGACCTGGGAGAGAGGACCAGTACCAGGAGCAGGCACATGGGAAGATGCCTGTCATGAGTGCCCAGACTCCTCTGCCCCACACAGGAAAGGCTCCCTGAGATGATCTCAGCCGGGGTCAAAATACCAAACTCTGAGAGAAGCAGTTCATGAATCACCCAGCTGCCTCTATGCCCTGTCCCGGGAAGCCTGGCACATCCATTTAGTGGTGCTGGTGGCCTCATCCACCCACCACCTCTTCCAGCTTGCTGGCTTCAGAGTGAAGCAGTGTGAGCTGGTGATCCCCCTGAAGCCACTCCACTGCCCAGTGCATTCATCGTGCATCAGGAAGCTTTTATTATCATCAGTGTTATTAGTTTTAAAATAAAAGGTTCCTTTTCTCCTTCTTCTATTTTAAAAGAAGAAAAGGCAAGTTTGACCCCTTGCCCTCCTCTGCCAAATCCTGCTAATCTCCCAAAGTTGCTGCTGCCTATGCACACACGGCACCACCAGGACCCAGACTCTAGGGTGAGATGCAGTTCTGAGCACCTGGGGCATGGGGCACCGTTACCCCAGCACCCTGCCTTTGTTGGTGCTCTCTGTTTGCCCCTGAAAGGAAGGCAAAATGAGCTTCTCCTTCACCTCTACCTGCTCCAGTCACGGGCAGATGCCCTCAAAGGTGGAGCACAGGGCATGAAGTTGGAGTTATTGGTGAGGATGGGTCACAGAAAGCATGGACAGCTGAAAGGACAGCTGTGTGTGTCTGAGGATTAGCCTGGGACAAACATCAGGTCTCAGGCATATGCCCTGCAACGGCACAGCTATCCTGAGGTAGGTGGCAGGCAGTGTGGAGACCCTCCACAAGCATCCTGCTTTGGCTAGGGCTTACCCAACCTTGCTCTCCCCTCTTCCAGCAAAAAACCTAAGGCAAGTCCCTCTCAGCCCCATGTTGAACCCTTGCCTGGCAATAAACAGGGCTTGGGCTCCAGGGACAAACTCCCAGCTGATGTACAACTGACTGTAACAGCACCATTTATACTCACAAAGGCCTCCACTGCAGCCCTGGAGCCAGGGCTAGCAAAAGGAATGGAGATGTGGAATAAATCACTGGTGGGCAGGCAGGGGACCATGAGGGGAAAGGCTTATGGAGAGCTTTATTTTAGGGGTCAAAAGAGTGTGACAATGTGGAGACGAATAGCCTCAGATAATGAATGATAGCCCGGACGGCACGCCGGGGAGCTGGAATCTAAGCACTTAAAACCGGATAAAGACAGGCTGGGTGAAATTCTTAATAGATTTAAATAGTTCATGTTTCGACAGATACCTGGGCTTTCCAAGGCTGGGTCCCAGTTCTGTGCCTGTAATGAATCCCCCACCCCCTCTGGTATTCTGCAAGGCACCGTCTCTGCTTTTGATGAGGGCACCATTACAAATAGGGGTTTTGTCCCTGCTGTGTCCAGACCACCACTCAGGGGGGACACTGGAGGGACCCTAAGGATTTTAATTAAATTTGACTTATTGGAGGGGTCTGGAAGCCCCTAAGCCCCCTTGCCCACCCCTCAGGCATACAAGCCTCCCAGGCTGTGGGCTGGGGGTGTGGGGAAGCAAAGTGCAACTCTCACCACAGGACCTGTGTGCCCTGTACTCCTGGGGATCGCCCAACCTGCTGCCCCAAACACACTTGTGTGCCCAAACCCTGACAATATGTGGGTGCCCCAGTCTGGCTCAGAACAGCCAGCGAGCAGCAATTCCAACCCCCGTGGTGCCTGGGCGTAGGGGACTCTGTTGTTCCCAGGCTGGGGGGGGGGGACCACCACCAGAGATCGAGATACGCTGCGTGCCCTCCTGCTTACCCGCGCCCCCGGGATGACCTACTCACCACCAGAGCCCGATGATGTTAGCGGGGCAGAGGAGGATGAAAAAGAGCCCCAGCTGGGTCCGGGAGAAAGGCAGCATCCTGCCAGGACTGAGGAAAGCGTCGAACTCGCTTCACGCCACTCTCCGGGAGCCGGGCACCCCCGAGGTCCGGCCGGGGCCCCGGCGGGTGGGTGCCCGCTGTGTCCCTCCGCCGGGCCGGGCCGGGCCGGGCCGGGCAGGCAGCGCGGCCGGCGGGGCCGTCCGGGCCGGGCCGGGCTGGGCTGGGCTGGGCAGGCACCTCCGGGCGGCTGGAGCGCGGCGCGGAGGCTGCTCCGGAGAAGGAGGAGGAGGAGGGACGGGGCTGCGAAAGCATCTGCTCCGACAGGGAAACCGGAGCCCGGGGGGACGGACAGGGCGGGCCGGGCGGGGGGACTCCCGGGTGCCAGGCTCCGTTCCCAGCGCAGAGCCACCGGCACGATGTGGGCACGGGCACCCTCCAGTAGGGGACGGTGGCCTCAGCCTGTCCGGCCCCGCGTCCCGCCGCCGCTTTTGAACGTGCAGCCCTTTTGCGGATCTGGCTGGCACAGCCCTGCCCCCGAAGCCCCGGGACCTGAGGCGGACCTGCCTGGAGCAGCCCTGCCCGTCTCCACTCGGGGTCCTGCCGTAGCCCTGTCAAACCCGACCTGGCCTCGAGGTGTTCCCGACACTTTCCCGTAGCACTCTTGCCCGACCCTGACACCCCTGGCATGGCTTTGCCCAAATCTGGCGTCCCTTGCTGCCCCCAGCACAGCCCTGCCTGACCCCTATCCCTGGTCTGGGCTCGCCTGGCACAACCCTGGCTCCATGACCCTGCCTGTCCTCAGATCAGTCTGTCCCTCCCGGGAAAGCTGCAGGAGTGACCCCTCACAAGCATCTCCAGCACTCTGGAGGGACACGTCTGGGGCAGAGGGACACGCGGGAGAATGATCGAGCCAGCCCCAGGAGCAAGGAGACCAGGAGAAGAGTGCAGTGATGGACATCTTGTTTATGGTGATTTCACTTCAAGTGCAGCCGGGACCCAGAAGAGAGACGGTCCCCAGCACCAGATCGTAACAGGAGGAGCAGCAGGAGCTGCCTGGGGCAGGAGGAAGCTGACATGCCCAGAAGGTAGGAGGGGGCCACACAAGGGTCAGGCAGCTGGGGACAGGAGGAGCCCATAGCCTGCCACACCAATTCTCCCTACAGAGGAGCTTCAGGAATGGTTTTCCAGTCCAGTGCTCTGCATCTCTGATTCCTCTTGTACCATTCATGGCTCCCAGCAGAGGTTGGGGACGCAGCTCCCAGCTCTGCAGCAGCTGGGCCATGGATCCTGGACAGCTACCCGGGGGGGAGTCTCATCTGATCTCTGTATCCACCTCCAGTGAGCAGCCTGCCAGCCCATTGGGTTATCCCAAGGGAAAAGGAGGTGTCTTCCAGCAGCCATGGGCAAAGCAGAGCACTCTTGGTGCTGGCGAGATCACCCCTCCCTCCAGCAGCTATTTGTGCTCTGTCCCCCTTCATAGCCTCCCATACCTTACCATCTCAAGCCCCTGGCTTGCCCATCACCGTTGCCCTTGCCTTGATCACCAGCGGTTTCACCCCTTCACCTGGGCATGTCCTCTCCCTGCTTACAGCATTTGGTGGTGGATGGCTCAGGCTTTATCTGCAGCTTGGCACAATTCTCTCCCTCCTGGGCACAGGAGGTAAGAGACTCCCACCACCTCTGGAGGTTTCACAGCTGCTCTTTCTCTGTCCTCCCACACAGGAAGAGGGCTCCTACTCTGCACCCTCGGCATGGTGGCTAGGACTGAGCTTCCCCAGCTGCAGCATGGGGGACACGGGGACACGGGGCCCTTCCCTGAGCCGGGCACTGCATCTGGGCTGCTGCACCATGCCCTGTCCCTGCTGCCTTTTGCCTTCACCCACCAGCCTCCATCCTAGCTATCCTACAGGGACCCCATCACCCCTGATGTAGGGGGATATCCCGCAAAGAGCAGCTCGTGGAGGAGGGACATCCCTGCTAAGGCTGTACCCAGGGGCCCAGCCCCTGCCGGCAGAGCTCACTGCAGCGCACAGCTCATCTGCCGGCGTGTTGAAAGTGCCTGTTGTCCCTCCGCCCCTAGTGCCTGGCCTCCTCGCAAAGGCAGCGCGGGGCAGGTGAGAAGCCTTTATCTGATTTCCTAAGGGCAGAAAAATCCCTTTGATTTTGCCCCGAAGAGGGGAGCGGGAGGGGGGGTGCCGTCTCGGAGAGCAGGTGCGGCTGCTGTTCAGCAACTCGCCTTATCATGTCAGCTCTGCGTGAGGCTGGAGGGGGCTGGGGGGGCTGTGATGCCCTCAGCACACTTATAGGAACTGGCCCCGCTGCCCGGGTCCTGTGGCAAAGCCTCCTTAGAGGGGCTGGAGGGGCAGAGTGGACAAAGGTGGGCTCCTTGCCTTGTGTCTGGATCAGAGGGGCTGGGATAAGGTGTATGCCGGGAGTTTGCCCCTATTTCACAGCTTTTCCTTCACAACTTTTCTCACAGCTGCATCAAAATTCTCCTTTAGCAAGGGGAAGCTGAGGCACAGAGCTGCTGAGACCTGCTCGAGCAGGTGGGGAGTGGTTGTCTGTTCGCTCAGCAATTTTCTTACTGCCTCTACTCCTGCAACAAGACCCAGAGGCACACCTACTTCAGGGGACAAGGTGACAGTGGTCATACTAATCCAGGGTGACAAGGATGCCACTGCTACTCTGAAGCAGCCTCCACCATCGCAGCTGATCCTTTGTCTCTGCCTTTCCTCGCCTCTCGCAGCTCACTCCCCC